TGAAAACGAGGCCCTGAAGGTGTTCGCTTTTAATATACCATTGTTTTCTAAAAGGAGGGGTTTAGCTAAGATTTTTGGAAAAAAGGGGGATGGGGGGGAGCGAAATTAAAAAATCCGCCATTTTGTTTCGGCCACCGAAACGCCGAACCAAATAAAAAGACTCGGGAATGCGTTTCACGTTTTATTTTTGTAAAACTTAGCAAAGAAAATGAAAATTACCGTATAAATTCCAAAAATCCGCCATTTTGTTGCCACGAGGGGGGAAGGGGGGGCGTATGGCCCCCCCTGCCTCCCCCTGCCCCCAAGCAAACAAAAAGACGAAGATGACACTCAAAGATGACGGGAAATATACAGAGATTTGTGTTGTCTTTGATGCAAAGATGCAGATGCAAAGTTTATGACAATAAAATGTTTCACTCAACAGTTTGCCTCGAAAATTGCTGCAGTTGTCATGACTTTATCATAACTCCCATACATTCCCTTATAAACCATACACAGGAACCTTGTTTGGGCTGCCTGTGCTCAGGTGCGCAGTTAACAGGGCTCTGGGTCAAGCACAGGAAGCCCACGTGTAGCGTCTTCGTTTGTTGGTTTTCAATATGGCGGCCAATTCAGTTCGTCCAGGATGGCCAAGAAACCGTTCTTCAAGCAACGCTGGCAAGTATTTACCTTCCTCTGGAGGCGCAACTGTGGAAAAAACGATACGACTGTAAGTAAACCCGAAATGAATGTTAAATTATTTTGAAAAAAAATGGGTTTAAACTCAAAAACAAGTTGAAAGTGGGTTAGATTTTGGTCTGTCATCCACGTGTTTTGGGATCATTAACGTTAGGATTTTTTTTCCTTTGATTTGAGAATGCTTTTGACGTTTAAAGGTATCCATTGAGTAATTATACGTTTGGTACGAAAGAAGCTCTGTACGAGAAAGACAGGTAAGCGAGAAAACACATCAATCTGTAGCTACTTTTCAGCATTTTATGTCAAGGTTTATGACAATATTTAGCTAAAATATTTACTGGCTTTAAATTACTTATTTCTCTGAATAGTTCCGTTCAAGCAAGATTTCAAAGAATGAGGTAATAAATATTATTATAGTGAATTCATTTGTTCAATTAATAATCATCCCAGAAGCTGATTATTAGAATTAATTTATTTGTCATGAAAGAACAATTTCAGTGTTGACAACATTTTAGGCAGAAGGGCTACAGTGTATGTCCAAAACCTCTGGAAACATTTCTTCTTATTCTAACTAGCATTTGCTTCTAAGTAATTAGCTTTACACATCCTAAGAGCAATGCTGCTCTACTATCGTAGACTATTTTACTCTTTTACTCCGACGAAGGACTAGCGTCCGAAATGTCAGAAAGTTTTTTCRTCTTTTCACGGCGTAAAATTTACCTTTTTGTAGTTGTTGTACCTGGTGCCAACTGTTACACGCTTTTTTGTGCTTAGAAATCTCATGTTTCGATGGGTGCACATTGTTTTAAAATAATTGTGAATTGCTGCTTATTCCTGTTTAATCTCTTGGAAACATAGGCCCTTCATCATTGTCCTCCACCTCACTCTGTTCTCTGCTTTTTTCTTTACCTCTTCCCTTGTGATGTTTGCATTTTTCAGTTCTTTAATTGCCCTATTTCACTATGACGTCACTGCTTGTTTATGTGGGGGATAGAATCGCCAAATCCAATAGAAAATTCAACAAAATTTGCTCCTAGCAAAACAGTTTAATCTAAAATGGTCTGGTTTTCAGATATGATATGTATTGGTATGTACTTAAAAATATTCTGAGCGTTTGCTGGCTATTCTACTTCTCTTCGTGGATTTTAGAACAAGTTTTGGAGAATTTGCATTGATTTGACCCCCTCCGACGATCATGATCTTTCGTGTTTAAACAATAGATTGTTTTTATGTGACGTCATAGTGAAATAGTGCAATTGTGAACTAATTCATAATTATTGATTTTTTTTAATCAGGGAAGAATATGAGAAGTATGGAATGAGGAAAACTGTAGAAGGTGTTCTCATTGTGCATGAACATGGCTTGCCACACATTTTGTTACTTCAGCTGGGAACAACATTTTTCAAATTGTAAGAGCCATGCTTCACAACTTTGTCTGTATGAGATAACTAAAAATAAGATTAAATGTTTTGAACCCAGGTGTTGCAGTTTGTCGTGAAGTGTGATCGTCCAGGTGAGTGTAATCTTGAGAAAGGCTGTTGTTGGTAGTGACTGACGTTTTACAAGAGAGATTGAAGAAAACAGTGTTATACCTTTTCTAGACTGTTTGGTTGGCCACAACAACAATCAACTGTAGACACACTACTGTTTACTGCAAACCCACACACACTGACAGACTACTGGATCAGTCATCTTTGATCATGATGATTAAGACGCTTAGTAGACGATTTGTTTGTGACTCACTTGACAAACTTCATGACGAGGACGAATATTTGCAACATGTGTTCCATAAGAACAAGCAAGGCTGATTTCATTAGACAAAATACCCACAGCAACAAACTATTCACCAACAAAGCCAACGACTAAAGTCCTACCACGACTGCTACCATACCTTACATCAAAGGGACTTCTGAGACTATAGCACAAATTCTACAACCTTATAACATCTGTGTTCCTCACCAACCTATTATGACTTTACGACATTTATTAACTGACATCAAAGACAAAGACAAACCACTTAAAAGACAAGGAGCTATTTAGAAAATAGATTGCACGTACTGCGACTCCACTTACATCGGACAGACTGGTAGGACCTTAAATGACAGACTTACTGAACACAAACGCGTCACTAATAAACAGGATCCTAACATTAACCACATCGCTGAACTATTGACTGGGACTCTGCCACATGTATCAACATATRGCACCAACTACCACCAACGCCTTACACTTGAAAGCTGGTATACAAGCTTATAACCAAACCCACTTAACCAAAGTCAACAATTACCGGCACCTTACAAAAGACTCATTTATGACCTAAAACAAAAAACTGCAACTTATAATAACATCCACATATCTTTACATAACGATACCGACTAATTCCCGTTTACATTACGACCGAACCAGAGTTATAAATACCATCGACAGTCTTTCGTTTCTCAATGGACTCTGAAGATGTTTTTGCTTTTGTTGTCCAAATGTCAGTCACCACCAACAACAGTCTTTCTCAGGCCTACACTCACGGGGACACAACACTTCACAACAAATAACTAATGATATATAAATATGATTGGAGCATTCCTTCAACTGATCTAAAACCTGGTTCATCAATCACACCCAGTTAAACCTCCCTAGAGGTGAGAGGTGACTGTAATTGATTCTCTCTTGATTCCATAATTAATATTGTCTATTTCATCAATTGTTTCACGGATTTAATTAATAAATTTCTTTAGTCTATTCTATTACCACTTGATGTTACAAAATCATTTTAAAAATATTTCTGATAATCCGTGATTTTCAGACCTGGAGGAGAATTAATGCCAGGAGAGGATGAAATAGATGGACTGCGTAGGTCAATGACAGAGGTAATCCTGATTTTCATTATTTGAAATCCGACCTGTATCTATCTTGTCTTTAAATTTGGCATTTGCTGTGCATAAGTTGTTTGTTAAAAAAAGAAAACAGTTTTCTTTCATAAACAGATCACTTTTAGACTAGCCAATCAAAATGTCTGGTCCACAATAGTCCATTAGCAAGAGAATGTAAACTAAGAGATAGGATCCTACCTATATAGCCTTGTAACCATCATGTGCACAGTTTGATGCTATTTTTAGCTTGGAGATATTTTGAGCGAAGAACCTRATTGGTTGATTTCTTGAGGGTAGGCGGCTTCCAGTCTTGCAGTAAACAAAATATGGCGAAATATGGCACTTTTCGTGTCCTAAAACGAGGCATTAAAGGGAAGCATGATTATCGCATGAGCATGGTAACAAGTTAAAAATAGCATCAATGATTCTAAAAATAGCATCAAAGTGTGCACATGATGGGGCATCGGGATTCCTTCTCTTAGCTTATTTTCTCTTGCCATTAGTTTATTCTAAATTATACTAGTCTCTACTAGTGGACTTTAGACTTTAGTGGAATTAGACTGCTTGTAACTTTACCAATCAGAATGCTTGGTCTGTAATAGTTCACTAGACAAAAGTTCATAAAAATACTAGTCTCTACTAGTGGGCTATTGAGTAATAAATAATAATATTACTTAATTATTAGTCTGACAAATCAATGCTGCATTCTGATTGGATGATCTACTACTAGGCTACTTAAGTTATAGCCTACTAGTAACGAAATGGGCCAGCTTTGAAAACCAAAAAATTAAAGTGCTTGTCTTACGAAAATGACACAAAAAATCCCCGATTTTCTATCATAAAATAATTTATTGGTTCAAAAAAAAAACTTTTCTTGTCTGAATTCTATTTCCGAAAATTGTCAACTAGCTTGTCTGTCATTGCTATGCCACCATTGCATTTTAATTTATGTGCGACATCATACGCACAACTGGTATCCTTCATACCCACGTACTGACTCTTTGATATTGTCTGTAATGTGGTATGTTATTGATAACCATTCTAACAAAATGTCTGTTGAATGAATCAAATTGGTTACAAATACACCATGAGAAAAGCTGTGGATGAAGCCTTGAAGTGTTGCCCACATGAAATCACTTTCTTTGAATAACTTTACCCGCTAAATACAACATCTTCCTGGTCTTGTATCTAAATGATATTTAGACAGTAAACTATTATATTTTTGTAAGACTAGCACTTTAAATTTAACTTTAATTCAAAACTTGTTTGCATTTATATATTTGACCAACTAGTTGGTTTCCTATCGCCCTCATGGTCTATGAGTCAATATCTCATGAGGCTGAAGGGTATAAACCATAATCAATTTTGCCTACTTAATAACATCTATTTGTTCATAATTTAGATTCTTAGTAAGCCTGAACAAGGACCTGAGCCTGACTGGTTTGTAGAGGATTGTCTTTGTAATTGGTGGAGACCAAACTTTGAAGCCCCTCAGGTAGGTAATGACAGTCAAGCAGGAAGGGTGTAGTGAGGAGGGTGCTTGCTGCACAAAAGGTCATAATTTTTTTTCTATTTTGTTGGGCTACCTATGAATTGTCGCTCCCAAAACATTATTGTTTACCTCCACCCTGTTAGCTCAGTTGGTAAGAACATCGGTCTGCTGTGCTGAGGGTCATGGTTAAAGCCTTGGCCAGACCAACACTCAAGGTCTTAAAATAACTGAGGAGAAGGTGCTGCCTTTGTAATTATATCTGCAAATGGTTAGACTTTCAAGTCTTCTCGGACAAGGACTTAAAACCGTAGGCCAAGTCTGTCTTCACTATGTAACCCTGTATAAGGCAGACGTAAAAGATCCACTGAAGAGGCTGGTGACAACCATCTTCGGTGCCAAGCTAAATTCTACAGGGCCCACTGTAATTGGAAAAAAGGTGTTGTGGTGTCCCTGCCCTCATAAATAAGTAAATGAATTGATTATGTGCTTGCCCCTCAAACTCTGGTACTCTTGCTATGCCACTATGCTATTACAGTTTTTTTAATTTATAATACAGCTTTCTTCTTCTTTTAGGATGTGGATAAGGATAGTGGAGTTATGGGGGGATAGCCCCCACCCCTCAAGATTCTAACCTCCCTTTCTTAGTGTGTTGCTTCAGCAAATGCTTGATTTTCAAGTGAATAGATCACTTGCATTATAGCATCGTTTACTACCACTGCCGGTATCCCACTAACCAGACAACCTCGCACACTTTATTAGTTCAGTTAATTAGCATCAATTATTGTTTTACTATTCTCATGAGGAAATACAACTTTAAATAAGAAAAAAAATCATGAAGCATTTTGATAGTGGTAGTAAAATGATGGCATCATGCAAACAGCTTATTCTGGAATATTAGCATCTCCCCTGGTACACTTTACACGGGATACTTTCATATGCTGTTCTAAATCCATAAATGTGGATTTTTCACTTCCAGTTTCCATACGTTCCAGCACACATTACCAGACCAAAAGAACAAAGAAAGCTATTTCTTATTCAGTTAGGAGAAAAAGGTTTGTGCAAAATTCTTAATCGGTCTTGTCACTTTATGCTATGATTTGTTAAAAGACAGACAAATAACAAATTGATTGTATTTTCCTACCTTCCCTTTAATTTCTTTTGTGGAATGTCAAATCTATTTTATTTTGACAAAAGCAGTTTCCTTGTTGACTTAATAAAATGAGGGTTATGGATTTCTTTACTAGTGAAATGGGGAAGGCTACAACCATTTTCAAAAAACGTTTCTTGCATTGGTTTATAGCCCAGCCCCAATAAAGTACGTATTGTACCCACTTTCCCTTAGGCCTGGGGGTAAATGAGATTGTTACTAATAGACTCAATCCCAAGAATGCAATTCTTGAGTTTAAGAAGAACTTATCAACATTGTGTAGTTCCAAAAATTATCCATACACTCCTCATGGAGGAATTTTTTTAAGGCACCCCCCTACCCCCCGGAATTTCCAATTTTCTTCCATACAAACTCTGTAATTTTTGTTCTTTCTCTGACCCCCCTACTCTTCGGAAATTCCAAATTCCTCTGTGGGGTGGGTATGGATGATTTCTGGAACTACACATTGATCTTTTGTATTTTGTAGCAAATTTTGCAGTTCCAAGGAATTACAAACTAGTTGCAGCACCTTTATTTGAGTTATTTGACAATTCACCTGGGTATGGACCTGTTATTGCAAGTTTACCACAGCTTTTGAGCAGGTAATTTAACATACCAACCCCTGTACAAGAATCTCTAAGCCTGGGCCTCTTAGGAGGGGTCAAAATAGGGTTCTCAGATGATGTCCAATTTTACTGCCAATCCCACTATCCTGCTCGCCTTAACATCAAAATCCCTTAATATTAGACTAAGTCCCTTAGATATGAAAATTAAAATTTCTTCCTTCTGACGTTTCCAGATAAAACAAAGTAATTTCTTGAAAACTCTGACAATTCCCAAATCCCGACACCTTAAAAACTCAAAATCCAGTTCCCACTCTTGGTTCCCCCTCTTCCTGCTTTTGGTGGACGTCACTCAAGGCGTTTCCATGACATTCTATAGGCATGTGCCCTTATAGCTTTGTGTTTTCCAACAATGTTATGGAAATGCCTTGTGATTGACGTCCACCAAAACCTTCTTCGTCGCGACAGAAACAATCGCTAGAGGGCGCAATTGAGAATGGCTGTAAACTATGGTTGAAAAAATTTTCAATTTTCATCACCAACCTCCTATTAGTATGTCAATCCCCTTTTCAGGGTCACTAAAATTTCAAGACCCCCTCATTAATATAAAGATCCCAAGGTCATTGTAATGGGTCCAACTGCTTATCCAGTAGAAAAATCCTCAAAAGAGCACTTGGTGTTTATATTTGATTTCTTTCATTTCAGATACAACTTTGTATACTTTTAGAACGTTTTCATTTTCATCAAGAGCTTGTACCATCATTTGCTGCGGCTACAGTAGCTGAAAGTAACTGTTTGGGCAGGTACGCAGGATAGAACTAACAACATAGAAATCCTGCCAGTACCATGTTTTGCTTTACTTACGAAGCTTCTGACAGTACCATGTTTTGCTTTACTTACGAAGCTTCTCTACTTCCTCACCTTCTTTTCTTTTCTACCATCCTTCTCCAAGTATCTTTACAAGCCACTTTCTTTATTTTGCTTGAATTATCTTACAAAAGTATTTATTCGTTTCCCTTAAACTACATGTAATGAATAAAGTCTTTTTATATTGTATAGAGCTTGTTGAACAGTTAAATTTCAAGTGTAATTTATCAGAATTTTTTTACCATCATAACCTAGCTTTTCAATACCCACAAACCACCTCTGGTCAGGGCATGAATAACTCACAGATTGTAATTTAGATCATGTTTTTTTCCGACTGAAAACCAAAATCCTTAGGATAAAAAGCATGCTAGTTCTTTACCTTGCTTTTGTTAACACATCAAGTGAAATGCAAGCAGCAGAAGTAAATACAATGTTTGAAGAGAAAGTTTAATGCATTTCACCCATCCTCAAAAATAAATTCTTGCAACATCCCCTCGATAGCGCAGTGCGCTGATTCTAAAAATAGCTTAAAGATTGGGACAAACATYGCATTCTGTTTAACTGCTAYGAGAATTATACGAACCGAYTTTATTTTTATTTAAAGTTACAATGATAACCCATGTAAACTAAGATCAACTGCGATCGGCTGTGAAAATTATTTGCTGAAAGTAAACTTGTAAGTTTGTTTGTCCAAATTTGCCTTTGTCTTCGTTTTTATGACGTCATGGCTGCGCTGCCCTATTATCTAATGGTCCATCCCTTAGAAGTCTTGTCTACCACTGGTTTGTTGCTGCTTATAGCTAGTGTGCCCCACCATCTCTTCCATGCCCAAACATTTGCTTAATCTTTAAGTTATGTTGAACCTGAAACAACTTCTTGGCTGATTTACAGGCATGTCAACTAGACAGGGTAAGAACCACCCAACAACGATAGAACAGACACATAATATTTACAAACAAGTTTTATTTCTTCCTCTTAGAAAGTTATGAATTTCGTTTACATTTTTTTTTTTTTTGGCATTCAATTTTGATGATGTGTTGTTTTTAGACATTTAAATTTTTTAATATTTTTCTTTTTTTAACAAATTTATGTGCTCATTTGGTGAAAACCAAAAATCTAAGAGTATATATCTGTATGTATCTACATATTTACAACAAAAATTTTCATTCAAAAATTAATGATTCTGAAATTGCATGGTCTCCAATAAGATTGAAAACATTATATCAGATCACAAGAATATCAATTTAACAGATGATAAAAGGGTTATAATAGTGGTTATCACTTACTCACGCACAACATTACCTATTATCCACAAGACAAGTGTTATAAGGTCTCCATGAGTGCAAACAACAGTCATTATTGTTCATGATGACCTGAGTTCTTTGGAAAGAAAAATGGTGTCATCAGTTACTGCTTATTAAAAGGCCACTAGCTTATAACATGGCATTTAACATGATGTATCGACAGGGTACTACAGTAAATGTAAAATTTTTTTATGTGATGGTATCCAAATATGCTAGATAATAACTAACTTGGTCAATTTAAATGAACAAATTCAACGAAATGCCCAAAGCAAAAAAAACTACTTTCAAGGGACATTTTTTAAGTAAAGAAAAAAAATTATATTAAAAAAAATGAAATTGTTAAGGAAAAAAATAAACTGAAATTGTTAAGCAAAAGATGCTGAAGTACTGCTTGCATCTGCCTGTACAAGATAAATGCCATACTATCTCAAAGCCAGTGATGCCTTACCAAAGTTTTCTTTAGCTTGGTATATTTCAGTCATCTGTAATCTTTGGCAAGGGGCTTGATCTTGTGTATCTGAAAAGGAAAAAAAGAAAAGAGGACGAGTGCAGGCAGCTCCAAAGGATTTTGTTCACTTAAACTATTCTATTTGCTCCTTGGACATATTCCTGGTTATGGTTCGTAGATTTTTTTGGTTTGTTTTCAAAGGTTGTATGAATATCAAATCCTCGTAGAGTGTATACTTTATATCCGTGAACCTCTTTTACCTACAGGTCGTGACAGCCAAGTTATGATATACTCAAACATTATACTCAGTATATATACTTTACTATTCAGTTGATACCGACATTTTGTTGTCACTTTCTCATTTATGACCAATTTCATGAGCCTTGATGCTACACTCCTCACAGAATTCCAGCGAAACTTTGTCTTGGTTGACGTGAAGACAAACACCACCCTTGACATCCCTGCATCTTTTCTTGGGCGAACAAGGAGTAGCAGCATCCAAATTCCTCTTCCTGCTACCTCTAGTCTTGTACCTTCTGGTGTCATCATCATCATCATCAGTTTTGTCATCGTCAACATCAATGGCCGGTGCCGATGTATGCATAAGTTCTTGTGGAGCAAATGAAGATGTGAAAGATATCCCAGGCGTGGAGACAACACTCTTCAGTAACGCAGACAATGTGCTTTGGTTAGCTATCACATTCTTCAAATAAGCAACCTCATTTTCTAATTTCTCAACAGCTTTTGATTGCTTTATGTCCTTTGCTTTCAGAACTGCATTTTCTTGTTTCAGCTCTCCATTTTCTATTTCTATAGATTCGATGTATTTTTTCTTCTTTAGGCGGTTTTCACGAGCAGCTATAGCATTCTTTTTGTTCTTTTCCTCTTCATCTATCGGACCTTCCATCATGGCTTTCTGTCTTGCCGAAACTTTCCATCGTTTGGTTTCTGTAGAAGTGCTTGCAGATGGAATTTTAGCTACAGAATTTCTCGTGGCAGTTTTCTGGGTTTGCTGAGTCTTGGAAGGCTTATCAATAGCGTTCTCACTGATATCTTCTTCAGGAAACAGAGCTCCTAACTGTGGACCGAAGTCGACCTTTCCTTCTCCAAAACCAGTAAGATAATCCTCCAAATTAAAATCCGTCAGTAAACTCATTTCGTTGTCAAATCCACTATCGATACTATGTGATGGTGATAAAGCAGAACATGGTAGTGCACTCTGTAAATTTGGAGGATCAAATTCGATCCCCATTTCTTTTTCCCAACTCAAAGTTTCGCCATTGTCAGCCATGATGAAAGAAGATTTGATCGTCGCGATTTCTTGGGTAAGACTAACTGGAGCGCAGTAATTGTGATCCAGAAACACTACCTCAGCTTGGGTCCTTTTTATCATTACAGGCTAGAGCTCTAAACAGCTATTTTTTAGAGGATTTTTGCCTCATAAAATCAGACAAACCTCTCTTCTCTGAACAAAACGCGGAAAAACGTCGAACCAACGTTGAAGCACCGCATGTACCATGACGTAATGGTAACTCACTGCGCAGACTCAGTATCGTCACGTGGTATGAGCCCCCGAACTAAATCCGTTCAGCGGATGACTTCATGAAAAGGGAGCCCAGGGCTTATTTTTGAATATTTTTTACGATCTTCACCATTAAAACAAAAAAAAAAAAGAAAAAGAAAAAAGAAAAGGAAAAGCAAAAAAGAAAACCCTAGCTTAAGTTTTTTGTCAAATACGTTTACGCTTAAAAAGTAAAAATCAAGTTTGGGCTACCTGATTGATAGAATAGTCACGTGAACAGGGTCCTTTTGTCACGTGATAGAAAAACTATAAACAAAATACAAAATGGCGGACAAGTAGGGCTTGTGACATAATGCGGATAAAAACTACTCTTTATGACGATATAGAAACAACAAACTAGTTCTAAATCTTAAAAGATTGTCACGCAAAATTATGGTCTTAAAGTATTAGCGTTATTTCGACATGAATAATATTCTAYGCGGATGTTGTGGACCAAACAAGACAGTTTTCCAGCCTGCACTAAGAATGAGCCAGAGACTATTTTGCAGTTTATCACGTCCAAGGGTCGATACTTACAGGCTCAACGCTGGCCTAAGGCAGAAATGGAAGCAAAAAGAACAGCAAGGACTTGTTCAACTGATACGAAACAGAAATTTTGGTAGTTTTAGGGGAATTTTTGCGAAGGTAAGGCTACCACAGGCAGCCCAACTAAAGCTATTTTTATTTATCAACGGATTATCACTATTCTATAGTTGTACCAATAATATTTTTAAACTTTAGTTTCAGCTTAATATTTGTCAGATCATTCTTTCCTTAATCTTATGGAATTACGAATCCCCTCCAGATATTGTTGGCATGGGTTGTGTAATGATTTACCTCCTGCCCATTCTCATACCAAAAGCCTTCTCAGTTTTCTAACAAGGCTCTGGTAACACACAAATCAACTGTTGATTTGATTGGCTAATTTTTTTTGCATAATCATCTGTTTGCGGTTCGCTGATTTTACAGTCAACRGTTGACATTTGAATACTTTACCATACACATCAGAGGGTCTCGTTAAATTGCTTATTTTTTGGAATGTTAATCACTGACAAATAAACTGTTCCATAAACAATGTATAAATAAGCTTCATTATTTTTTTTTTTGAAGATAAACAAAACAGTTTGAGTTTATACCGGAAGTCAGAATAAGTGGAGCATGCACATATCTGACGACCTAGTATCTGAGGGTCTTCTGGTTTGTGTGTTACCAGAGCCTTCGATTTTTTTGGTAAAAAGAGTCTGAGTAAGAGAAAGACCTCTTGCCTCTTACCGCTGTGGTCAGGGTTTGAGCCCAGGCTGAGACTGGATCATATTATTGTGTTGTTCTCTGGGTTAAATATTGAAGAAATAGAAAACGCTACCAATGTAGTGTTCTACCAATCCCCAAGTGCTTTATGACTGCACACGGCACAGCAAGCAAGTTTTTTATTTCTTTTATGAAATACAAATTACAATAATAGATAAGAATAACGCAACTGAAAGTACGCGYATGTGCAATGTGCTCTCATAAAGCACGCGCACCAAACCAATCAGAACACAACATTCATAACAGTTATAAATTAATATAAATTTGAAATATATGATAGAGGTAGCCTTCAATGCAGACATTTTTTAGGGTGTTGTGAGTTTTCTTTTGATTGGAGGCATGGGATATATCATGCATAAATATTTTTCTTAGTTGATACAGTGGCTAGAGATTACCAATAGTTGAAATCATGCATATCAAAGATGATATTTTAATATACCAACCAAGCACATTTCTTTATAATATTCTACTGCAGCCGGGGACAAGATTGCAACTGCCTCCAGTTTTGTGTTATTCTTTATACCCATTACTAAGAAAAGGAGATATTCGTTATGGTAAGTGGAACTTTATTGATGTTATAAAAGAAAATTTCCTTTCTCATAAAGATGTTCATCAGTTGAATTCCAAGTTTTCAATAGAATTCTTTCTTGTTGACTGCAGCAAATTGTGTTTTTCCTAGGTTTTTCAAAGCTATTTTCAACAAGTTTTTGCAGAGCTCAAAACAATGAAGACGAAAAGAAAAAAGAGAGTGAGTAGATTGTAATTGTTCTGCCTAACTGCCAATCCAATTTTTGAAATGAAATTCTTCTAATTCTGCATGATTTCTCATTGGTCACTTTATTCTCCATTTCTCATCTTTTCTTTCCTCTTACTAGCTCCGACGAAGGACTAACGTCCGAAACGTCAGTTTAACAAGCTTCTTACGGTGATTCAAATTATCCATAAGTTCCCACAATTTTTGGAATAATTATCTAGTTTTCAAAAAAATGTTGCAACAGCATGCAAATTTAATGCAAAAAAGGTATCTTATGTTCAAGCTAAAACCCTGGAAATTCAAATAGTTTTTCATTTTAGTAATTACTTTTACTAATAATTGTACTAATTCTTACAGATGTGAATAATGAAATACTGTAGATGACTATTATAGCCAAGCATGGATCTTTACCATATGACAGCCATGTTTATTTTCATGAAAATGAAAACCTTTGTTTTGCCCACATAAATCTATTCTCAATCTTTTGAATGTAAGGCCATGCGTGGTGTGATCTATCATTCAAACCTATATGGCGCTGCCACGTGAATAATGCCCATACCTTGTGCTTTTAAAGAATGTGCTTCTAACCAATCAGAAGTTAGGATTCATAATAGTTTTATCGTAACACTTTATATTATTTTCGATTAAAGGCTATTCTATTTCTCAAATACAAAACAGCATTTTGACTTTAATAATTAATGATTATTTGCCAAAGGAAATTAAGCCTGAGGTGAAAAATAATTTTTTTGGTATATTTTTAGACTTTGATAGCAGAGACAGTAAAAATTCAGGATAAAAAAAACGTTTTAGTTTTACTTCCACTGGGGTAAACTTTGGAAAACCTCATAATCACTGCTTTATGAAAGGATATCGTTTCATAATCACTGGTCGCTTGACCAATCACAGCAAGTAAAACTCTAAAATCTAAAATTATAAGAGTCTAATATCACTGTATATTTCACTTGTTTTGTAATTAGATGAGCCAAAGCTAGGTGAGGACCCAAATCAAGGTGGCTGGATCCAGATCCTTCCATGGATTATCCTAGCAGCATTTTATCTACTTACAGCAGGAACAGATCCTACACCAGAAACAACATGGTTGGCATTTTATAGAGAGATGCTTACCAATGGAGAGGTAACTGAGATACTAATGTTGTCTGGTTATGCAGTCTGCCACAAGGTTAACTGAGGAGAATTAAGGTGCTGCTTTAATAATGGTGATGACAATGTTCAATGYCTGTGCTACAGTGTAACATTACAACGCCCACAGTAATAGTCCCCTTCACAGTTCCCTGCGCCATCTTGAAAGGTAACCATGCCTTTGCATCAAAGCGAGACAAATGGTGAGCTTGCAATGATAGAGACATGTGAATAATTGTCCAAGGTGTTAAAAAAGGTCTCTATCATTGCAAGCTCACCGTACGTCTCGCTTCTATGCAAAGGCACGGTTACCTTTCAAGATGGCGCAGGGAACTGTGAAGGGGACTACTGGCCATGCTGTTTTAGCATCCCTAACCTTAAATTAAATTAATAATAAATAAAACAAACTAGATTTTTTTAATGTTCTGACATTTTTAGGTGGAGCGTCTCGAAATACCTGCATCTCAGGACAAAGTGTACGTGTATTTACACCGAGGGGCAATAGTGGCTGGAAAAGAGGTACAGTCATCATATTACAGTACCACTGCTTTTATAGCAAACATTGGGCCCCTTTAGAAATGAAAAAGAGACTGGGGCAAGTTTTGAATCTTATTTTTATTGGAAAAAAACTTTTACCATTTGAGAAAGCAATTCAACATTAGTAAGTCTGGCAAATTTGAACATGTTTGAATGAAAAGAACCAGAGTTATAGGCTTTCAAAAGTTTCAAAAAATTTGTCCCCTTTAAGCATACATTTGTAAACTTGTCACACTTTTGAAGGCTCGTAACTCTGGTTTTTTTTTAACGAAACGCATTCAAATTTTGCTTCCATCTTCATTATTAGGATTTCTCTTATGGTCCACACTATGTGTTTAGTATAGCAAGTCTAGATAGACTGTATTCATATTCATTTGTTATTATAGGTTTTCTCTTATGAACCACACTATGTGTTCAGTATAGCAAGTCTGAATAGACTGCAGTATTCATATTCATTTATCATTATAGGTTTTTTCTTATAGTCCACACTATGTGTTCAGTATAGCAAGTCTAGATAGACTGTATTCATGTTTATTTGTTATTATAGGTTTTCTCTTATGGTCCACACTA